CCCTTCCTCTCTGTAAACAATATAATGTTCCGTCTACTCTCGCCTTTCCACCTTCTTCTCTCCAATCTCCTAAGGAATCAGGGCCTGAATGATTGTAGGTGTTAGGGTTAACCGCCTTAGCCTTAACTCCTATAGTTTTACCTATTATCTTAACCGCTGCGGTAGGTTTGGTGCATCTCTCGTGTGACGCATCGTAGGGGCCCGCATACTGAGCCTTTCGCACTCACATTTAGGTCAGCAGCACTGAGCTTAGATTGGCTATAATCCCATTAAACTGGTGTCTCTTCTTTTGTTGCCGTCATCTCTGGGCTGGATAACTGGGCTATTCCGAAAGTTCAGAAAAAGCAAAAAATGTTTACGGTACTCAACCGAGGTTCTTCCTCATTTTCTTGTTATTAACTCAGCAATGAAGTACTCGCATTATCTGCTCAGTTCTGCCGTAATTAAATGTGCATTTACTGTTTGTGCCGCATCATTTTCGTTGCAAATTCTGCCTGTTTCAAGCTGAGATAGTACCCACCATTTTCTTTTGAGAAATATGAAATTAAAGATCTTTTCTCTTGCAGTGGCCCTCGCAATTATTGCACCCAATACTATTATTTAAATCAGAATTAAGAAAATGCTAAAAAAACTTTGATCTCAGATGGGAAAGAAACAGAAGGAAAGCGTTCTCTTTAGATAATTTTTCTCAAGGGAACTTGGATCTGCTTGATTTCTGGTATCTGAAAAAGCGTTTAAACTCCTGGAGAAGAAGATGTATTTCTAATTTACGGCTATCTCTTCACCTCTCCAAAAGCTCTTGACCAAATACAGCGAATAGCGGCAAAGAGGAATCAGATGAGGCAGAATGATAGCCCAGGCCTCAATAACTTCAAATGTTGTCACACCGGAAAGTCCTAGGAAGAGTCCGAAGATGCCACCAATGGAGGCTAGCAGATTGAATGGTGTCATCTGTTCGCCCTCGCTCATTATCGCTGTTCGCGTCTCCGAGGCCGAAATTGTGATGACGGCAATATCGTCAGGCGCGAGGTCGCTGGAGATGTTGGTCAACTTACGGCTGATCGTCTCCAGCAGGCGGGTTTTCTCTCGACGTTCCACGTCCGTCACGACTTCTGTGCAGGACTGGGGACAGAGCCAGAGGAGTTGCATCTGGATGGTCGGTCTCATGAACATGGGCAGGTTCCAACTGCGCGGCAGGGATGTCATCAGTATCTGCAAAGGTGGTTAACGCATACACAAACGTGACCCTCCATCTCACGAAGGGTTAGCGAAATTGAGAAAAGGTTGTTGAGCACTCGCAAACCGACGCTAACCAATGGACCCAAGCTTTGAAAAGACTTACGGCGAATTGAAAAAATGAAAGAAATATGAAAAAGGCAAAAATCGTTGTAAGTTAGAAATATCCAGAAAGCCGAGTGAATACACCTTGCCACTCACGCATTCTTGCGGTGCGGTAAACCGGTGGCGGCGGCCCTTGCACATGCGCGTGCCCTCCAAACGGACCGCGTGATAGATGCGCTGAACCGAAACGAGGGCAATATCAGAT